ATGAGAGAATGGAGATGAAGGAGAGTTTTCAATCTGTTCAATGGCAGAGCGTCCAAGTGGCAAAGTTAGTTTCCGCATTTTTACGCACAAGATGCACTTCTACCTTTTCGACGTGTCCATATGCAAATGTCCATTTTTAACCTCCCAAAAAAAAACCTTATTAACGTTTATAAGATGCACACCGAATTGCGCACACTGAGGTCGTTTCTCGTATAGGTGCTTTCAATTTCCATTGTCGAGTGCACTTTAGAAGAAGTGTTTTTCTCCACTTTGCAAAAGAGCGAAAAGGCAAAGATCATACTTCGAGATGTTTTTTTCCAAATAGTAACATTAATAGTCACAATATCAAAATTGAGAAAAAAAAAGTTGACTTCCCAAATTGATTAACCATAATGATGCAAATGAAATCCTTTCCTGGCGTTACCTGTATGCACACGGCTTGTCGTTCAATGAAAAAAAAAGAAAAAAAATCGGGGTCACAAAAAGTTCCAGATCTTATTGTGTCAAAAGGGGGAAAATGCTGCTCACCGAACGTGTCAAAATTTAGCAGCGCTGTTTCTTCTTTAACTTTTAACTTTATCGCCTAACTTTCTTTTTTTTTCTTTTATGCCCCGCTCAAGGTAACGGTGCTATACATAAAAATGATCTAACGACATTTGAAAAAAATGTCTGGCATGTAGATTAGGGGTTGTTTTCATTACGAAGGGAATATCAATTTTATGTCACACATGGGTGACCATGTTATGGTTAAACCAGGTCTTACGCTCTGGAGTGCTACTTCGCAATATGCCTTTTTCCACCCCATCTACCCCCTGCACCAGGCATGCCATTTACGCTCATGAGCACATGTAAATGTTAGTACAAATGAAAACGATGACAAACGGATTTATTTATAAACATCGCTTATCGGGTGAATAGAATTGCGTGTTCAATTATCACGTGATAAGCTTTGGTGTGCCTTTTAGTCTCCACTTTGGGGGGATGTAGGAATCCCACTGTGCAGGCAGAAGCTTAGCCCTTTTCTTGTCTCGTGCGAACCTCCCTTTTGTGCGAAGCATTCCCAAATGGACAAGCAGGTAAGCGGTTAGGCGGTTACACATATGTTCGCAAAGGATTCGCGATAGGTAGAGTTACACCTCCGCGAAGATAACTGTAAACGGTGCAAAGAGATTAAAGGTAGGTGAGCTATGTTATGGCACAACATATGTGCGTTCTCATGCCTACAAAGAATGCTCTCTTTTGGAGTGAAAAAAGTACCATGGGGTTTTCCTTCAAAGAAGTGAAGAACCTCTGATCCAAATGGGTGATAACAGCACAGGGTCACATTAGTCCTGCTCCGAATATTATTTCCACGCCTTGTCCTCGCACACATGGGGGTACATGTTCTTTGTTCACACCTTTACCGTGCTGCTCATAAGCAGTGGCACGTCAATATCTCCCCTTTGTGTATACATCCAATGGCTGCTCAAACAGCACAAGTGGAGGCACACCATGTGGGGAAGCATGCGAACTTCACCTGTTAGTACTCGCATGAATTATATCTGCCACCCCTTTTATTGGGAGAAGAAAAAAAAAATAACCCCTTATTGGGTGTCGCCCCCTTGACACGACGCGTAGATAAAAAGGTGTACGTACGCTTCTCAGTCAAACGAATATTGTATGTCATTTTTCCATTTGCGTTTTTTCACGCATGCGTGTATTCATGGTGTAGCTGGAAGGGGTTTCCGCAAGAGCCTCTTGCCAAGAAGTTGCCTGATTCACAGCAAAGGGAGGGCACACCATTTGGCCGTTACCAAAATGAATAGTTATATAAACACATACCTGCGTAGTTTCCCTGCGTAGTTTCCCCGCGTACTTTCCCTGCGAACCAGGCGTCAGCAGAATTGGCCGATTTTGCCATTCGATTGATGGCAGCATCTCTGCCGATGTAGTTTACGCCCGATCACTAAGATTATTCTACAGTGTTTTCTTCTCTTCTTTTGCACAAATTTTATCCACGTTTAAGTGGCGCGTACATAAATATATGTCCATCTCTGGGGAGGCATAAGTGAAAGCCTTTCAAAAACATGGCGAGAGGTGCAAACTGTCATCTCAGTGTACTGGTTCGCTGCTCACAATACGCAAGCGCGTCCGTCAAGCGATCACGATAGCTTCACTCTCCTCTCGAATTTAATGGATCGGCGTAACATACACCTGGAATACTGGCCATACACACTCTCAAAACCGTCTTGAAGTTATGCACACGATTTGGTTTGGACATCCGCCCGGGGATAACAAAAAAAAAAAAAAAATGAACTCGCACGGAGGGGGGGAGAAACAAATGAAAGATAAGAGCATAATAAGATGAGCCACATACATCTCAACACATTAAGAAGATAGAAAAGGTACATTATGTGTACATGAAAATAGGATAATTTGCCTTAACTGATCTGAAACGGTTTAGCAGTTGCATGGGTCTTTTCACACAGTGTGCAGGCAGAATGGAAAAGTTGCAAGCCATTTGTCACATATAACGAGAGATACTTTTCGGTCCACACTTAAAAATGTCATAATGGTAGAAGGTGACGCTTTTTTTTTTTTTTTTTTTTGCCCTGGGAGATGTACCAACAGAAAGGGGGGGCCACACCTGAGTAAAGGCAAGACCCATTAATATCTCTACATGGAGTGTACACCACCGTAGTGGGAATTTTCTACATCCTTTTTTTTTTTGTTAAAGGGACATGTATACTAAATCCACCGCGCATGCTTCTCTATTTTGTAAAGTATATTCCTTCTCGAGTGGGTGGGAGACACACTTAACAATGGTTCGGTAAAAAGAACATTGGGAGTATTTCACCATGTGGAAACTTTAAATTGCGATGAAGTTTTTTCTAACGTTTCTGGGCTGAGTGTGCCTAATTAGTTCACATGCCGGGCACAACTATCCCCTACACACGGACAAACATTGACACGTGCAATCGGCTAACATCAGAGAACGCATCAGCAGAGTTGCTATGCAGTTCACGAGTCACGTTAAAATGAAACCTTCTTCGGACGGGCCAATCTCCCCATTTTCAAAAGAAGAAAAAGAAAAGGAAAAACAACCAGAGCATGCTACGTTGCAAGGAACAATAAAATTGATTACATAGCGTGGAGGAAGCTACGCCATTTGTAAGAGAGGGCTGCTTTGTAAACACCTTTGGGACGTTTTAATTTCCACCATTCACTGGGGTGGGTGTAAAAAAAAAGCTGTGTCCGGCAGCAATCAATTTTTGGGGGGAAATTTGCTTGACGCGTTCGTTGCGCGGAATAAAAAGGGAGAGAAAATGGAAAACAGAAAAAGGAAAATAGGGACAGAGAATGGTGAAATTTGAACGGAAGAAAAAAAGAAAAAATAAATAAACCGTTGCAATGCCCACTTTCACAAACCCTCTACCGCACGAATGCTCATTTTTTTTTTTTTTTTTATTTTTTTTTCCCTTGTTCTTCCAATACATGGAGCGCGCCAAGCATGTATCACATAAAACGAACACATACTCTTCCCCCCCACTTGGCAAGCATCCATGCGTTTTCCACACACCCCTTGGTACATTTGCATATATTCTATATTCATACATATATAACTGCTAACCTCGCTGACGTCCATAGGTTCGGTTGGCCATGTGGAACGTGTACATTACTCACGCGTGTGGAAATAAAATCGGCCAACGTTTTTTTTTTTCCCCTCCTCACTTTTGCGCATAAACCTACAACAACCCGTGTGCAGAAAAAATGGGAAAAATAGGGTAAACGTGAAAATAAGGGAACAACAGTCAAACATGTATGTGAATAAAAACGTGAACACACGGGGCAGTAATACAAAATGTCATCCTCTTCCGTCCGCTTCACAGCTATTGAAAAAATGAGCGCCAAGTTACACCCGTAGTGTTATCAAAAAATGGTAACTCTTAAAGAAAAATAGGGGGGAAGAATAACTCAAAAGTCAATACTGTTTCTTTGTTTGCGCAGGTGGGAAGCGAAACGCTGAGGGGGTTGTGGAGAAGAACAAAAAAAAAAAACGAAGAAAGGCAAAGTGGGACAAACTAAGGCAAAAGTGATCAAAAAAATAGGGGGCCAAAGGAGGTGAGAGAAAAAAAAAAAAACACGTAGAGCACCCCTACAGGCATATAGAAGAGGTAGAGAAAGTTGTATATCTTTCCACATTGGCAGTTCACAATTCGAACACGTTCCGACCCTCGCAGGATATGCATATATATATATGTATAATACCATCCCCTCTCCCTGCGCGAAGAAAAAATATACCCCTGTGAACATCCCCCAAAGTAGCCTTTCAAGTGTTAACACAATGCAAAGCAGCAGAGCAGGGCAATCGAATAGCACCAAAAAAAAAAGTATATGCTTAGATACATTTATATATTTTTCTTTTTTTTATATCCTCTTGTATATGTATACCTTACACAACGCTGCCCTGAACGGCATCCACCACCACCCCGTCTGCATGACTCCAATTACATCGCCCATACTCTGCCGAAGGGTGCCGCCTTAACCCAATGGATGCAGTACTTTGCGCATTCTACCTAGCTATACCCTCTCCATTCCGCCGCATATACAAAATGAAGTGCTTCGTCATAGTAGACGCCCAAAACGACTTCCTCCCCGGAGGGTCGTTTAACTCCCGAGATGATTACTTAAACGCACTGAACAAAATTAACGCCATAAGACTAAGGATACACAACTGCACAGAAAAGGACCTAATCAAATTAGGCAACTGCAAACAAATGATGCAGTACCAGCCGGATAAGTTGCTAAAGGAGAATATCGTCCAGTATCACCAGTGCAGCAATGATATTGATGATGAGCAGAAGGAAGGAGACATTCTTCTCTTTCCATGGGACGACAGGATGATGACAAATTGCCCCACTGGATTGAGCTCCCCAAACGTCTGCAACGGATTGCAGAAGCAACCTGCACAGGGCACAGTGAACGGTGTGGAGGGCATGTCCAATGACCCTCACAGGGGGTTCTCGCTCATGGGCGAAGACACCGCAGGAAGCGACGCGCACGTGTATAATCACCACCCGAATGGAAGTCGCCCCACGCCGGAAGCAAACAACGTAGCATTACTAAACGGAACCGATGAAAGGACCAACGGGGGAATTGCAAATTTTGCTCTGAACATATTGTCTGTTGACTACCATCCGCAGTATCATATTTCCTTTGCAGAAACACACAGAATTGTGTTTGAGAAGATAAACAAAAATAGAGGCATCAAAAAGAGTAGCGTGAAGATGAATGGGCATTCGGTACCCCAAGTATCGACCCACGCCCAAGTCAATAGGTTAGCAGGATATGAAGAAGAAGCCGAAGGTGTGCTTGGCGGTGATCATGGGGACGAAGGTGTTTTTGGCGATGATCATGGAGATGACCATGCTGACGATGGTGATGGAGGGATCAAGCGTCCCCTACAGGCGGACCTCCTCCAATCTGCCTTTCTAGAAAAAAATAAAATTTCCAACCTGACTGATGTGATGAAGAACCTAGCCAATATCAAATCGACGAGATACATCTACAAGAATGTCAATTCCGTTAGTGACATAAAGGAGTACAGCAAGCTAAACTTTCTGAACGAATCGATCGATGTATGGCCAGTTCACTGTGTGCGGAAAACCCCGGGGTGCAAGATCAACTCGAATCTTATTAGGCACCTTAACGACATTGTAATTAAGAAGGCCGACACAGAGAACCACGACAGTCACACTATTTTCGAAAACAGGGAGATCAACGAGAAGATTTTAAAACTGCTCAAAGGAGTGAGCATAAAATCTGTTTACATCTCCGGGTTCATATTCGAGTATTGCGTAAAGGAAACTGCTTTGTCGTTTTTTAATCTCGGGTTCGACACCTACATTGTGGAGGACGCAACGGCATACTTGTTCGGGCGGGAGGAAGATAAGGATGACTTGAAGAAGAAGGGCATCAAGTTTGTGAATTCGTCCACCATGTTCGATTGATGGGAGGTAGGTAACTTGGAATGGAGCAGAGGAGCAGCAATAGCAGCAGTAGTAGAAGCCGTAGCAGTAGCATCACTGCGAAGTAGTCAAGAAGTCACGCTGTCATAGCATCGAACTATATGCCCTTTCAAAATCGGAGTTGAGTGAGAGAGAAAAAAAAAAAACGTTACCAAAAAAATGGTGATAATTTTATTCGACGCAAGGGAATAAAAAATCGGAAGAACGATTGGTTAAGCGGCGAAACGAAGAATGCGGAAGACGGACGAATGCCGTGCCCAACTCAACTGTCCTGACGGGTCACCCCTCATCTGTGCCTAAAATTTGTTGAACTGATCTCGGTCGAATTTGAGAGCTCGCCGCTTCCACGCCCACAAAATGAAGTGCTCATTGTGGGTCAAATATCTCTTATTGTTTTCTAGCTTAGCCTAAAGAGGGGAAAAAAAAAGTGTACACCGGCAGAGTACGGATGTGCTTGTCCAGCAGTAGGTGGCTGTACAGCTTCAGGCTGGCAAGAGCCCACAGGGAAAAAATTTTTGACGCTTCTCCACACGTGCACACTGACATATATATGTGCACAAATACACAAAGCAACAATATTGTAACTTCCGAAACTAAGCATAAGGCGAGTTTTTTTTTTTTTTTTTTTTTTTTGTGTTTGTCTCTTCATTTCGTACCTTCACACACTTATCCTGAATCAGATTGTTTATTAAATTAAAATATGTTCTTTTTACCTTTTTTGTGGACTAAAAAAAAGAAGAAAAAAAAATGAAAGATATGCACCTATCCGTGTGTGCATATGTCTCTTCCATTGTGTGTACTCGCTTTCTGTGCCCACTTCGCGTGAACGTCGGGGGGCGATAGGCACGCATGGCGATTCACCCCTGCACTTGGGCCCAGGCATGTGTACATGTACACGTGCATATCCCTCGTGCTCCTTACATTAATGATCACGTGCTGGAACTTTTTTAAATACCTATAAAGAAGATTAAGAGGATCAAATGGGTGACGTGGTGAAGTGGAGAAGCGGCGGTGGGAAGTGGCTGCACAGTTCCTGCAGCGCGGCTGCAGAGCGGCCCGAATGCATGAGCAAAACGGATCAGCTTCAGAATGACGCGCACGAACGACGTTGCTCCGTCGCAGGCCCACAGCTATCTCTCCTTACCAGGCTAACACTTCCGTGTCGGTGCATTTTGCCCCCTTTATATGCGAAATGTAGTAACAAGTAAAGAAGGCAAAATGTACGTACTTCTCATACTCCAGGGTGTAATTTTTGTCCTGCGTTTTTTTTGGGGGAAGGGGACAAATGTGACATGCGAATGGGTTGTATGCATAAATGGGGGCAACGTAAAGGGCGATTACATGGCGATTACACAGCGACTACTCAGCGGCTACGCGCAGACTACTCGCTGCGCGCAAAGGCTCGTACTCCCGTTAGCACGCGCGCGTCCACGTCCTGCGGCCTACCTCTATGAGGGAATTCTTCGAGTACCCACTGTGTGTGTACTCATTCCCGTCGAAAGCTATGTCGACATTCATTTTCTCGAGGTACAGAAACGGAACAAATGAAGTGATCACTGTCGGCTGAAAGGCCCTGTGTTCATGGATACTCTCATGCTCATGTGACCAGGAAGCGCGCGAAGAAATTTACGCATATAGGGATGCACACATGTGTACGTTCACCTAAACTCGCGCACGTGTGTCATCTCTGCAAAAGGGGGAAGCGTTCGCTCGGTCGGCAACGGTGAGCGGTGTGACGCGATGAGATACGATGAGAGGCAATGGATGCGATGGATGCGCTGGGACACGTTTTGTTCACTCCGCCTTTTCACTCCCTCTTGCGATCCACTGTGCGCTTTTCTGTGTACCCCTTTTTCGCCCCTTATTCACTCGGCCTTGGGTGCGCCGTTTTGCTCCTTCTTCCCAAACGTCAAGACATTTCTCTCTTTTTTCTTTTTTCTGTTCCGCTTGTTTTTTTTCCGCATGCGCTGGTCAACGATGTAAAAAAAATAATACAAGTGAAGAAAAGCGTGCACGCTCTTCTGGTACATTTTCCTTACACACAAGCTGGTCAAGGAGTACAGCTTCCCGCCGAACATTGTCCCGCAGTTGCTCTAGCGCTTGTAGCATTGCACAGGTTCTACAGGTGCACTCGTTTGTGCTTGTTAGAAGTGGCTAGCACAAGTTGTACTCCTTTGTGCTCTTTCGCGCCACAACACGCTTCTTTTTACGCCCCTATGCGCCTTTATATGCCTGCTTCCTCTCGTTGGTGCTCGTATGTTTCCCCTTTTTGTACTCGTGTTTTGCCCCTCTTCGCGTGCCTTTCTGCCTCGACGAAGGAAAGATTGTTTAGTGGGTTGTCCGAATGGTCAGCAGGTTGACCAATTTGTGGAGGCCCTAATGGGTTCTTTTGACGTCCTATGATTCCTAGCCCTGCTTGACCCCGCTTAGCGCTCGAAGTCTCCGTAATCTCTAGCCGTGCCCCTCGAGAAGCCACGCGACTTCACTTTTAGTAAGGTTTGCGGGTACTGCGATTGCCTCTCTTTGGCGCAGACGAACTGGTTTCACGTGTGATCTGCTCCTTTGGCGTATCTACTATTCAAGCCTAAACTCTCATGTAGCGCATCGGCAGAGTGAACCACATACCGCGGTAAATGTACAATTGGTCCGGCGATGACGTGTGGTTAGTCACTCGTGCTGCAGTTTAGTAAGTATGTACTTATATATGCATGCATAGTATTTTATTTTATCTTGTTTTATTTTATCCTTTTTTTTTTTTCTTCTTCTTCGCCGTGCCATTCCGAAAGGGGTAACTAAAAGATACGCCTGCCTACGCGTAACGCTTCGTGCATGGTGCGTACCTTTGTCATTCACTGTGGAAAACCAATTGGGGCGAATTTCACCTGAATATTATTCTTCATAATTGCATTTTTATCATTCTACCTGTACGGCATTACTTGGTGAGCATGTCCCACCCTAACGTGGACTTGCTAGCATGCTCATCCCATTGTACGTTTCATTACGACGCAGGAAAGTGTCCCCTTTCTTCTTTTTTTTTTCCGTTTTTTTCTTATTTTTTCTTCTTTTTTCTCTTTTTTTTGCCTGAGAATCATGACCACCCCTTCCTGACGTTCCGCGAACTTCTTAGCCCATTTCTTCCCTCCGCCTCAACGTGGGATTACCTTACAACAAGTGGAGCGTTTTTTATAAACAGGAAAAAAATGCCGACAAATAAAGTGGAAGATGATAATGAGGGTAGCATATGTAAGCAGCTATCTTGGAGCGATGGCCAGAGCTTGGCATTGGACGGGCTCCTTCAAGGAAAAAGAAAAAAAAAATACACTATAGAACAGCACAATACAGAAGAATACATTAAAATAAAGTTAACAAAGCAGCTTGCCGAATTCGCGTGATGAACGAACGCCTAAGCTAGGACAGAGCATCGCGTAACTCTCCCTGTCTCCGCATTACCCACCAGACACGGTTTCCCTCGCCCCCCCTACAGACGTCGTTAGCAACCTGTACAGTGAACAAGAGTTGAAAAAAGTTGCCCAGGATTACATAAGCGAAGTATGAGCGAAAAGTTATTACCAAAAAAGTGCAAATATATGACCATCAATTGAGCGCCTCTTTACAGTGTGTATAGCGAAGTGTCCTTGTCGTAAAATGTGGGTGGTAGAGGGGATGCAACGGATCACTTTTTGGCGTCTCCTTCTTCCCCACGTACCAACAGATCCATTTGTATACCCTATGTCAATCAATACCCATTTATATTCACCTCGCTATTTGTCCTTTTCCCCCTCCAAGAAAATAAGGGACCAGAATTTCTCAGAAAATATCAAATACTCTAACATTCGAATTTTCCTAAGTTTGCTGCTCATATCGATTGGTACTAGAAGAATCAATCTGTTTATTCCAACTTCGCGTGTTTCACTTATGTTTATGTGAACATTTGTTTGGATTATTCCCTATCGCTCTTCTCCTCATACAGGGGCTGGCGCGTCTAAGTTGGTTTCTTCACCAATCCAAACTGATTTCCTTGTTTTTCATCCCTCCTCATAATCCCTCTCTCTCCAGGGTCCTACTGCACCATCTTCGTGCAGTACAAAAAGGAACCAATGCTTATGATCAACCTGTTGGTAAGTACCACTCGCAATGGGACAACATCGTAAGATTTCCCACCTGTGTCTTTTGTCTTCCTCCGATACACACAAATCGACGTGGCCATTTGTACACACTCCTTCCCCCCCTTTGTGCAAATTACAGATCGCCTTCTTCATCGTTTCGGGAACACTCTTCTTCTGGGAGTACTTGTTTTTCGAAGACATCTTCTTGATTTTGAGGACAAACAATGTGGGGATGACAAAAGAAAAAAAAAAAAAAAAACACGTAACATAAAATACGTAGCACAAAATGCGCGTCTGTGTTCCTTCTCAGCTGCTAAAAAAGCGCCTCCTTTTTTTCCCCTTTTTTTGTTTCCCCCCAGGGCGGAGTTGTGAAGCTGTTCTTCGAGCTGGACATCCAAAAGAGCGCCCTCCGATTAAGTCAGCTACCAAAAAGTGGAACCACCACGAGTTGAAAGGACGCTTGAACGGTTCACGTAGAAATAGCAGGCGAAATTATTTACAAAGAAAAAAAAAAAAAAAAATATATATCCTGCCTTCTTCTCCCCACTCTGCAGCCTACAAGATGAATAAACAAAAACACAGCACATTGTTTGAGCTTCGCAAATTGTTCAAGGAAGATGGGTAAGTTGCATGCATTCCCCTCACGTCGCACCATGGAAACGTCGAAGTGTTCACTTATGCTTCATTACCCAAGCGTACATACCCGATGCTTATGACTGTTCCCTCATTCCTTGCAGCTACCTCGTCCAGAGTTACGCAGACGCTATGTTGAAGCAGTTCATTTCAGATCACGGCAAGATTTTCAAGCTTTGCGATAATAAGAAGGCCTAACGGGGTACAAAGTGGGACCGACGTGCCAAACGATGGGATATCACACCTCACCAATCAGTTCTCCAACTGGACAGACGCCAATGCAGGCCTGTTTATCTTCCTAACCCACGGGAGTGGCGCCAAGTCGACGCATGTGCGGGTGCCACGGTGGGAGCTCACCAGCCCGTACAACATAGCAGCGCACTGGGAAAAACATGGCCTTTATTCATACCGCTAATACAGTTACTGTTTGCTATTATGTTTTTTTTTTTTGCTACGACGACCCAGGTGGGAAGCGCGGGGTCAATGGCGAAACGGGGGGGGAACCAAACGGTTAGCTTACTAGCACACCATGAGTCGGTGGCAACCGTTGGGAACTCACCACAATATTTAGCGCATGATTATTTATGCCGTTTGTCAAAATGTATCTTTTTTTTTTTTTTTTTTTTTATTTCTCAATCGAATTCTTCATTACCCCTCTTCCGAGCACACCTGAAGAGGACGCTCAGAAAGGTATACCCCCATGCAAAAGCGAATTCCTCCAAACATCGTCCAATCAGTGGCTACTGTGTGAGGCACTCCACTCAGGGTATACCCGTGGTACGCTTATGTAAGGGGGGTTGACACGACGGATGACACATGCGACCGAGTTATTACCACTTAGAGCTCTGTCACTTTGCCTTTTTGCCTCTGCTTTCCAGCTGCTTCGTGCTGTGTACAACAGGTAACTTCTCCTTTCAGTGAACGGGGGACCACATACGGCATAATAAACGCACTTGTTGGGAATTTTTAGCTGTCTCTTTTTTTTTTTCTTTTTTTTTCGCCTCATTTGGAGTAACCTTTTTTAAAGTGCCACTTAGGATGAAGGAAAAAAAAAAAAAAAAACAGATTGACGAATTGGCTTATAAAGACAAACGTAGCCTTTTTCTAGCAATTGTTTTAAAAAATGTTCATTTATCTCAGAGCCCACTTCTTCGCATCACACGTTCCTTCAATCAGGGTGAACTTCCTTCTGGCAAACCCTATAAGTGTCATCGATGCTCATGTTTCAGCACTCTAGACAAGGTCAACCCGTTTGGGCGGTCTTACATTGGCCACGCTGCGCCGTCGGCAGTGGCGCAACTTCGTTATGGTATTAACAAGAGGGGGGGAGAAACTATATATACATGTATATATATGTATGTAGGTATGTATGGGGGGATCCATCCACTACGGACAGACGCCTTCCCCCCTTTCGAGGCGTGGCCAAACGGAAAGACCACCTGAGCTGAGCATCTTCCCGCAGATGGTGCGCCCTCCCCCAATGTACGTACATACATACACAGATGCTCGCATGAGCGGTGGTCAAATATATTCCTGTATAATACACCAGTTTGAGGGGGCCCCACCAGTGGATTGGCGCGATGAGGTTATCCTCATTTCAAAATAATCCTTCTTTCACGAGGCACCCCCCGACGTGGAAAGTTGAGCATAGCAACAGGAGGGCCCACTTGTACGTACATGCGCTGGGAGTATATACATGTTTATCTGCCCCTGTATATACGTACCTATATACACGTACGTATCCACGTCCCCGCTTCAGTTTTTTTTCCAGCGAACCTATTGCCCTATAACGTTACACCTGTATTCGCGGGCATACATCATTCGGAAAGATCTTTTAAAGGGGCACAAAGGTGGAAAGAAATCGCTCATTTTTGAATTTTTTTTTTTTTTTCTTCACGCCACATCCAGAGTATTAGGAGTTATACTCCTCTGCTCTGACATGTGTCGTCATGCTCACTTGGATGAGCGCGGCATTGCATCTGCATATGCCATGTGGTGCCCCATCTATATACATATATATATGTACGGCCTATTCCAACACCCTTGGTTTTTTTTTTTTTTTTGGAAGGCCCAGTTGATATAATTCATGCTAAGGAAGTTATTCTTTTTTTTTTTTATTTCTTATTGCGTTATTTATACTTACACATAAATTAAAATTTTTTGAAAATTGTTAGCGTGTTATGTAACTACTTTTTGCTTCACTTCGCTTTGCTTTTCTGTGCTTCGTTTTGCTTTCTTTTTTTTTTCCTTTTTCCACATGATAATTATAAATAAGTAATTTCTTGTAAAAGCGTTTAACCTGTGTAGTAAGAGGCCCAGTGATCATATCTGAAGGTAAGCCCTTTCCACTTCATCCCTGTGGGACCCCACCTCCCTGTGCACTCTGCTCATCGCTCGTTACGTTGTACTTTTCCAACGCACTCGCTCTTTGCCTATAATGTGAGATTTCTCCTCTTTACGTACGTCGCCTTTCCACACGTGCCTCTTTATCTACTCCTTTTGGGGGCGTAGAGAGAACGACACCGTCCCCCCTTGCACATTGTCTCACCTGTTCGCACGTAGGTACCTTCCATCCTATGTAATACTCGTCTGTGCACGCGCATGTATTCCGTCCTATGACCCCCCTTTCTTTTTTACAACGGTGTGTTTTAGCATATGCGCATTTATGTTATATGTATAGACGTGCGCGGATAGTTGGACAACCCATGCATGCGCAGTTGGCTACTCTGCACGGACTGCCCCCTGCGTCGTTCTCCGTTTTACGCACTCTCTGCAACTGTTTAGTGGGACTGTTCAGTGGGACTGTTCAGTGAGACTCTTTAGTGAAATTGTTTAGTGCAACTCTCCAACGGCTCCAGATCGACGTTTACTCCCCGCTCTTAAAAAATACACCCATTCGTATGAACACTCACTTGCCCATACATCTCCCTATGTGCGAACCCCTTAGCGTTGCCCCCCGAGCCGAACCCCATGCGTATCGACGTGACAAGTCAAATCATCACCCCACCTTATGTGTACGTTTACGAAGTTCTCCTTAGGCTGAGCTCTTCACCCTTGTGCAAATATATGCTTTGACAATTCCACCTACGTGGCTTGAGATTAATCCTATTATGAGCACCAGTATTTAGCCGATTGTAAGGGGTTCTCTTTTTCTCCATTTTTCTTACCCATGCATAATTACAGCTCGATACAAACCATTCGATACACTACACACACGGAGATATACATACACATAAACATAAAAATACACACATGTGCAGTAGACTCATAAAGCCCTTTCGTTTCATGCTTGTTTCATCATTTGACTCACATCGTTCCGATTGTCGCTATAAAGAAAACGTGCCCCCGAGGATACCCGTGACTGAAATGTGTATGTAACGCACCTGTAAAAAGTCCCTAACAGGGGAATGCTTTTCGCACATGTGAATGCTGCATGAGGGTTACACTCATGCGACACCGTTTTTCATATCTACGCTTTTGAACAAATGTATGTTTTTGTGTACTAAACTAGTTTAAGGCTTCCGTTGTGCCTTTTTTTTTACGCAGCTTAAGTGCGTCCCATGTATCTACGCTCGTAGGTCTGCATGTGTACGTACAGGAGTAGATCGCCAAAGGGCACGGACGAGAGGGCACACATACGTACCTATATATGCCTCTATATACACGCTCATGTATATGCCTATATATACGTGGTCATATGAATGTACACCCATGTGGTGCGTAATATGCTCGTTCATATCTACATGCGGATGTAGTGCGAGCTACTTGGTACATTTTTTTTTTCATTCCCTTTTTTTCACCCCCTCATTTTTTATTCTTTCATTTTACTTATTTAATTCCCTTTTTCCTTTTTTTTTACCCCATAGGTTTAAAGATCATTTCGTTTCTTATTTTTTTTATTTGAATAATACTAACAGAGTCATTTAAAGAAAAAAGAAAAAAAAAAGCAGATTTGGAAAACCTTTTATCCTTCACCAGACCATAAGAGGCCATACACATAAACAAAATTTACCCTACCCTACCTCATCGCATCGTATGATATCTCCTAATAGTACATCCCATTTCGTTCCTTCGCCGTTCCATCGTTACGTCACTTCAGCTTTTTTTTTTTGCGCCTTCTTTCGCCCCTTCACCTTTGCATTTCGCTTTTTTTTTTCGTATCTTTAAGCTTCCCCCTTCACCCATTTTTTTCCCTCCCCCCTTCCTCATTATGTACGTTTTTATTATGCAGTAAATTTCATCTGTTTGGGCTTTATATGTGTATTTAGTTTAATCAACCTGTAAACATATTTTTCCCTGTTTTGTGCCGTTGCGTGGTTTGCCCCTCGGGTATTTCTCCCCTGCGGCGTTTACCCCTTCGCATTTTTTGCTTTATTTTTTCGACGCGCCTCCCTTTTTTTCTTTTTCCTTTTTTTTTTTAATCTTACCCTCCCCCCCAGTCCAGCAACCCCTTCATCTGTTGCACCATCCGCTTCGTCATCTTCATTGCCATTGCTCGCCTGGGCGCAACATCCTCCATCCCTGTTCGTTTTGTTCCATGCCGAGTACGACTAGAGAATAAAAGAGAGCACATAAAACTGCCTAGCTTTCTTACCTCTCGATTTACAAATTGCATCTGCACGTCCGTGTATTAATCCATTTGACCACCTACAAGTGTGTGTAAGTGGCCTCTCTCGCAAGAGCGTACGGAGCGGTCGCCCACCAACAAAAGATTGCAGGACAACTCGACAGATCACTCCGCTGTGCGAACAAACAACTGAGACTAAACGGGCATTAAACCGACGCAGAACCGACACTGAACCGACGCTGAACCGCCAATCAACTGCCACCCCACCGAGCAGCAAAATGAGCTATAGAACCAACTGCGCCACTCCGAACGCTTTGAATAACTCAAATGAAAACAACTTAAACAAAATATACGACAACAACAATGCCCCTTTTGACGAAAGCTGGAAGAAGAGAATTCTGGAGCCACTCAAAGACCACCGATACAGAACGGAAGATGTAACGAAGACCAAGGGCAATGAATTTGAAGATTATTTTTTAAAAAGAGAGCTTCTTATGGGCATATTTGAGAAGGGCTACGAGAAGCCATCCCCCATTCAAGAGGAAAGCATCCCCGTGGCGCTGGCCGGCAAGAACATTCTGGCGCGGGCCAAGAATGGCACAGGGAAGACAGCGGCCTTTGCAATTCCTCT